TTTATGTGTTCCATTTCATTTCTGACAATTTCCAATTTTCCTGGATTCACACTTTATACATTCTATGTTCTGATTATGAATGGATGTTTACAGTTGTTTCTCCTCATTTTGAGTTGTGCCCCATTAGCAAATGAAGGTCCCTAAAGCTTTACTCCATTGACATCATCATGGCCAACCCTACTTTGAGGTGGCAGCTCTTCCCCAGTCATACCCCAACCTGAAGGGTTCATCTTCTGACACGATACTAAGATTCTGGTGCTAGTCATCATGTTTCAATAATCAATATCCTGGTGCTATCTGACAGTGTTGTACTATTATCCCTAAGGTGTTCAGTGGCTAAACATTCTGAGATAGTCTGCCTCTCCTTCTTTCTAGTCTGAGTCTGGAAGCTCAGCTGAAACCTGTTCACCAGGGGTCACCCTGCCAGCTTTCAAACTGTTGGTAACATAGCTGCCAGTATCACAGCAACACGCAAGTCACCACAGTGTGACATGCTGACTCCAGCGACCCTGCATAGTGTTTCTGAGGTTTGAACTGTAGCCCTTGTGGTTCACAGTCCAGTGCTGACCCTACAGCGCCACACCAGCAGTCCATATATAGTTGATATTGCTGTTAAATGCCTTTGAGTCCATTTGGACCCATAGCAACCCTGTACAGGGTTTCAGAGGCTGTAAATCGTTGTGGGAGTAAAAAGCTTCATCTTTCTTCTCTGGAGCGAACTGACCCACCTTGTGGTTTGCAGTTCAGCACTGATCAGGACTCTTAGAAGTCATTGAACTTTCCTGGCCTTTTTCTCATCATTGCAGTTTTCAATATTCTTAAAACCTCTTCAAAATAAGCCCCTATGATCATCCTGTGTCATTTGAGAAAATCTTTCAAGATCAATGTCATTAAGTGCCGTTGAGTTGGTTCCAACTCCTAGCGACCCTAAACCTTACAGACAAAACACTGCCGCATCTTGAGACATACTTGGGGCAACTCTCAGGAAGGACCCTGTCTCTGGAGAAGAACATTATGCTTGGTAAAGTGGTGGTGGTGGTGGTTGTGTGCCAAAGTCACTTCCTGCTCACAGTGACTCTTTATACAATTTCCAAGACTGCAAATCTTTACCGGAGCAAAAAGCCTCATCTTTCTCCCATGGAGCGACTGGTAGATTTGAACTACTGACTTTATAGCAAGCAGCCCAGCTTGTTGCCAGGACTCCTTTGGTAAAGTGAAAGGTCAGTGAGTAAGAGGAAGACCCCCAATGTGATGGATTGGCAAAGTGGCAACAACAGTGGGCTCAAACGTATCAACAGCTGTGAAGCTGGTGCAGAACCAGGCAGTGTCTCATTGTGTTGTAGATAGAGTCTCTAGGAGAAGGCACCAACTCGATGGCACTTACTACAACCAACAGCAATCTTGATAGGGTTTCTGAAAGGACACAGGATGATCATAGGGTTTGTTTTGAAGAAGCTTTAAGAAATTGAGAACTACATTGATAAGGAAAAAGCCAGGAAAGTTGTGCTAAGGAATTTTTTTTCCATCATGACAATTATTTGAATGTAACAAGAGCTGCCCTATGAAAATTATCCATCCACTCTACAGCCCTCACCTTGCCCATCAGACTTCTTTTTGACAGTTCAAATTCATCCAGTGGCTCCTCAGGAGAAGACATGACAATCTTCTCCAACAAAGACTACAGTCGAGAAAATCCTATGGGACAGTTCTACTCTGTCACATGGCACCTAACAACAACAACACACCCACATATGAGACAATTTCAAAGAGGTCATGGAAAAATGTAATTAAAAGAGAATGGAATTTGTCCACAAACTTTTTGAAGGACGCTTGTACATAGATATATTTATTTGAAATATCTAGACCAAAGTTTTATTCTAGACCAAAATTTTATTCTAGTCCAAAGTTTTATTCATGGTGACCAGGGGTGGGAGAGAGAGGGAAAGAGGGGATTGTTGCTTAGGAAGCAGTGAGTTTGGGCTCATGGTGATGGGGAATTTGGTAACGATTTTGGATGATGGTTGTACAACATGATTAATGTAACTGACATCAGCAAACTGCACATATGGAAAGCCATGAATTGGCAAATGTTGTGTTAGATATATTTTTGCAAAAATAATAGAATGTTGCTATACCTGAGGAGGAGGAGGAGGAGGAGGAGGATGAGGAGGATGAGGAGGAGGAAGAGGAGGATGAAGACTTGTCTTTCTTATTTTGTTCTTCAGGAAAAAGTTCAGCCTTCTGGTCTTGCTCATGGAAGTCTGTCTTTCCATCTAGAAGGCACATGCAGGTGAAGGGATAGGTTTCCCACCCTTCTCACTTGAGACCATCAAACCTGCCCTCTCCGCAGGGGTTGACTTGGACCTGGAGAGCCAGGAGAGTCTGGGTTTTTTCCCCCAAACACTCAGGACCAGAGGCAGGTGCAGGAAAATAAGGCTCCTTAGGAAGGCCTAGGGTGGAAATTTTTCTTAAGCCTCTCTCCCTGCCCTCAGGACCACTAGACTCTAGAATAGCTGCCAATTTAGGATTCCCAGATGGGCTCTAATCAAGCCCTAAACCTCCCCATAGCTCAGTTTGGAGCCAGACAGGACCCTTCCCACCTTCTGGGAGCTCTCCAAAGAGCTAGGCCAAGTCTCTAGAAGGTTCATGCCACTAGAACATGCTAGGATGAACTGAGCACATGGATGTGTGTTCCTGTGTGTAAAATCACTACTTCTCTAGATGTCTAAATTGTGACTCAAGCAATTGTGCCATATGAGCTGAGCAAGAAATTCTCCTGTCCACCCACTGCTAAAGTCCACCTCCATGTGGTTTGGCCCAGAGGATGAGGGAAGGCAAGCGTACCGTCTAGATCTTCTGATTCTCTGTGGACTTCATTGTGAGAGGAGGATTCTGAAGTCTCCATGTGGTCCCTGGAGGAATAATAATAATAAGTAATTAAAAGCACTTTAGTGAACATCCTTCATATATAAAGAGCGTGGCCAACAAATAAGAAAAAGACCAAAAAATCAGTTGCTGTCAAGTTGATACTGACTCATGGAGATCCCATGTGTGCAGAGTAGAACTGTACCCCAGAGGGTTCCCAATGGCTTTTATAGATCACCAAAGACACCTCTGAGTGAACTTATCAGTTAGCAGCCTAATGTGTTGATTTTTTGCACCACTCAGAAACTCCAAAAAAACACAGAGAGAGAAACAGAAACACCCAATATTCAAAAAGACAAGGAAAATAACTTACAAAAAAAAGGAGTTTTTGTATTGTTATGTGCCATGGAGTCGGTTCTGACTCATAGTGACCCTGTACAGGGTTTCCCAGGCTATAAATCTTTATGAGCAGAAAACCTCAGCTTTTTCTCACGGTAGTTTCAAACTGCTGACCCTGAGGTTGGCAGCCCAATTCATAACCACTACGCTACCAGAGAGAAGTATACAATTAGAGAAATTCGAAATATTGATGTGGCATCATAGGTTAAGGACTCAACTACAAGGTCAGTGGTTCAAACTCACTAGTCGCTCCTTGGAAAGCCTATACAGGGTTGCTATGAGTTGAAACTGACCCAACAGCACTTAACAACAACAACATTTGTTAACAGTGGAGGGGGTAGTCTATGCCGTGGAGCAGAAAGACTGTAAATCTTTGTGGGAGCAGAAAGCCTCATCTTTCTTCCTCGGAATGGCTGGTAGTTTCAAACTGCTGACCTTGACTCATAATTACTAACAGTAAGAACCTATTACTTATGTTTCAGGTGTGATATTTACATTGAAGTTCTGTTTATTAAAATGTCCTTTCACAAGCTGGTATGACCTGGTTCCAGCTCTAGATATGTCAACTACTGTTTGCCCTCTACTTCCTTTTTCCTGCTTCCTGGATGCTGGAATGCAACCTGGTAGTGATAAATCGATTCCAACCATGCAAATACAGACAACACTCCAGGGGTGTGTTGAGCAACAAGACAGATAGAACCTGGACAGCTGCAGGCCTCAGGCACAGAGCCACTATCCAACTGGGCCTCCCAGTCCCTCTGGACTGCTATGTGCCAGGGAATAAGCTTCTCTCTTGTTTGTTCTGGATCTCTTTGCTTTAGCAGATCAGCCAGGTTAAACAGATTCCATATCTCCCTACCCTGTGGAGTGTAAGGCCTCAAATCTAAGAGGAGGTAGACTTTCTGGTCTCCAATTCATTTCGAATCCTCAACACTATTGGCATTTTGTCATTGTTGTTGTCAGCTGTTGTGAAATTGGCCCCTGACTCATGTTGACTCCAAACATGATAGAAGGAAATGCTGCCCATTCCTGCCCCATCTCTGTGACTGGTTGGGGATCAAACCATTGTGATCCACAGAGTTTTCCCCGACTGGTTTTCAGAAGTAGATTCTCAGTCCTTTATTCCTAATCTAGCCAGCTTAGTCTAGACAACATCAGAGCAAACGAAAGTCTACACTGATACACAAGGTGCATTGGCTGGGAATCAGCCCTGGGTCTCCGGCAAGGAAGGTGAAGATTCTATTGCTGTACCACCAATGCCCTATTGACATTTGAGACTGAATAACCCCTTGCTGTCCTGTGCATTTTAGGATGTTTAGCAGCCTCGCTATCTTCTACGCACTAAATGCCAGCAGTACTCACACACCAGTTGTGACAACCAAATTGTCCCCTCGGGGACAAAAATGACCCCCTGCTGAGAACCATGGATCTCGAGGATCTACTCTAAGACCTTGGCAAGGCAGTATCCTTCTCTGCACTTCAGAGCCAAGCCTGGCCTCATGCTGTGCCTCAGTTTCCACATCTGTAAAATGGGAACAATAAAAGTACTTATCTGAGGATATTGTGAAAAGAGCATGAGTAAGCTCTTGGAACAATGCTTGATATAAATAAAGCCATGTTAAACAGACGCATATGGAGGTGATGATTTTTGTTAGCAGTGGTGGATGGGGGATCTCTGGATTAAGCAAGACAGTGTTAGTGCAGTGGAAGGAGCATGGGCTCTGGGGTCAAACTATTGTTGAATCCTACTTCTGCCACCTATGCACAGGAGACCTTGGGCAGGTCAGTTTCCTTCTCTAACCTCTTATTATCTCACTTGTGACCTGAGGATGGCAGCACCTTAGACCATGAGGACAGATGGACAGATGGACAGTACCCTTAGCAGGGGTTCAGTGAATGTGAGTTTCCTAGTCCACAGACATCCTCTCACCCCTCTAACTTTGCTTTTGCCTATCTCCTAGACCCCAGACTTGATTGCTCCTTCAACCCATGCCTATCAAGTTGATTCCCACACATAGTGATCCCATAGGACGTAGCAGAATTGCTTCTTGGGGTTTCTGAGACTCCATCTCTACTGGAGCAGACAGTCTCATCTTTCTCCTGCTGATTAGCTGGTGAATTTGAACTACTGACCTTGCAGTTAGTAGGCCAATGCTTAACCCAGGGGATCCTTTTATACTTGATTACTCTTTCTAAAATAAGCATTCCTATGGTGTGACGCTATAGGATAAGCACTGGACTGCTAACCAAAATGTTGGTGGTTCAAACCCACCAGCTGCACCTTGGAAAACCTATATACAAGGTCACTATGAGTTGGAATTGACTTGATGACATTTAACAACAATTTCTTAGGGCAGAATTCAGGTAAGTATTAGAAAGTTCATGGTCACTTAAATAAACTGCTATCAAGGTAAAGGTGATTGCTTATCTTCAGCTTCCAGGAGATACTAGTATTTTGAAAAGAATTTTTTGTATGTAGCAAGTGCCCAGTGTATAACAGTAGCATTTCATGTAGAGTGAAGGAAGAGGTTTACAGACATATGGGTGAAATAGAGCTGAAGGCTGGTGGTGAATATGCCAAAAGTTCACCAAGCAGTGAAATCTCTCTCCCATCCTATCAGCCTGCACCAGCCTTTCTGGGACACTCAACACTTCCTGGTCTCATACCAGGCACAGCTTGAATATCACCTCCTTCAGGAAGCCCTCTGCTGGTTGTCTAGTATCCACTCCCCTTCTCCACGCCCCGCATATCTCACTTCCTCAGCCTTCCTCCTAGCTAACAAAAACTACAATTTTCTTCTGCTAGCCCCACATTTTTGTTGTTAAGTGCCATCAAGTCAGTTTAAACTCATAGCGACCCTGCATAGGGTTTCTAAGGAGTGGTGGTGAGTTTGAACTGTTGACCTTGCATTTCAAACTGACCTTGTGGTCCAGTGCTTTATCCTATAGCACCCCACATTAGACACTTGCATTTTCAGCCACCCTGGCACGTGAGGTAGCCATGCGATCCAGTTTGTGCCAGTGTGAAGTGAGCAGAAGTTGGCTGGGGTTTTGGTAAGGGTTTTAGTAATAAAAGAGGCAAATGGCTCTGGTACTTTATCTGCCTTTTTTTCCTTTCTTGAACACATATGTGATGGCAGGAGCTACAGCAGCCATCTTGTGACGATGAGAAAAACAAACCAAAAAAAGCAAATGTAGATGTTGTGCTAAGTCATTATCAGCAACTGCCTACTTTCTTGTTATTTGAGAAAAATAAACTCCTTTTTGTTTAAGTCTCTACAGTCAGGATGTTTGTCAATCAGGGCCAAACACAATTTAACGGATACAGCTTTCATTTCATTCATTCATATATTAACTGAGCACCTACTGTATGCTGCTAGTACTGAGTGCTACGATGAACAAATCACAGTCCTGCCCTCCAGGAATGTTGAGATAGGCCGGGGCACTGTGGGAGCCTAGAGGCTAAATCTGACCAAAGTCAGTCACGGAAAGTTCCAGGAGAAGATGTTATGGATGAATTTGGAAGGTCCAGAGAGAACAGCATGTGCAAAGGCATAGAGGCCAGGGGGCCATGACCCATGTGAGAAACAGTTGGCAGGCAGTAGAAGTTCTAGAAAGAAATGGGATTTTAGGAAGCCCAGACGGCACCCCACCCTATCCCCTGATACATCACTCCCCTGAGCCTTAGTCAAATTATCGTTGACTTAGACTCTTGTTCCTCAAGCTAGGAGGCACTGTTCCTATTCATTTTCCTCTCTCTGCCCAGGGCTCAGCGGAGGGTCTACCAGATCCACCAGATGAGGAACTCAATCAAGGTACGGCTGAAGGCTGATTAATGTCTGTCCTCCAACCCCACCTCACCCCCAATACGCACACACAGGGCCTGGCACAGAGTAAAAACAATACTGATAATAGTAATAGTGGCAAGCAGTTTAAAATGCTTAACACATATCACTCAATGTTCTAAGCACTTTCTATGTGTTAATTCAGGTACCCCCCAGCATAACGCGATGAGAGGTCACCTGTGGGTCCACGTATAGGTAAGAACAATGTGGCAGAGATGCTAAGAAATGTGCTCAGGGCCACATAGCTAGCAAGAAGTTAAGCAAGAGTGATTGTTCAGTCCACACTGGGAGACTCAAGAGTGATGCTGGCATGTTGTTGGAGTGTTGAGAAATGATGCTGACTCAGCTTATACGTAGCCCACCCTGATTAAGAGGGGATATCTTTGGGCAGGTGTGTAGCACACTGGCCCCTTAGGAGGGAAAAAATGGAACTATGGACTTGAGATGGCCCCATATTCTTTTAAAGTCCATGCACTCTTTCCAAGCACATCAAAATAAAAACCAACAACCAAGAATCAGTCTGCACGTGGAGGGATGGAGCGGCTGGGTACTCTGGGCTCAGGGAGGGAGAGGGGCTGTGTGCTGACAGCGAGGAGGCAGGCTTGCAGGGTGTACCCTTTGGTTGTTTGATGATACATGGAAGGGGTTGTAATCATTACAATGCAATGAAATACGATAGGATGAATGTAAAGCTGATGTTCTCCCATGGAAACATGGAAACTATCACTCAATTCATTAAAAAAAAAAAAACTTAAAAAAAAAAGAATCAGTCTGCAGTTAACATAAAAGGGTGAGA